CACAGACAGAAAGTAGACTGGCCTCAAGAACAGAATGAATAGGTTGTGGCATATCCATGCAGTGGGAAATAGCTGTAAACAGAAGCAAACTACTGCTATCTCTGACAGCACATCATGTCATTATAGACCATCCATCCACATGAAGTTCAGAACCTACAGTGAGAGAAGTCCCACAGTAGTCACAGTAGGGACTGCTGAAGGGAGCCTTCCATATCCTACTCTTCCTTCTAAACCATATTCTTTTATTTTGTGGCTTAATCCAGACAGTGGTCATCTGTGTATTATGAAAGAAAACATTCCTCGACATGCCCCCTTGTCATCTGTGCACTTTACTGTATCTTAAGCTTCCACAGGAAGAACAAAAGGTGTTCTGCCCTAGCATTCTGTGGCCTGACTTCTCAGTGTCTGTCAGGAAACTCCCAAGGTGGCACACAACTCATGCTTACCAGCTTAGATTCACCATTGCCAAACAGTGGGATGTTCCCCTGCCATTCTCCTGTCAGGGCCACCCAGATCAGTAATGCCATGCTAAGCCATCAGCACGCTCACCTGACCCCAGTGTGCGCAGGGAGGAACGGTCATACTTTTTCACCCAGGTATCTCCATGCTTCAGAAGCAGCCGGACAGCTGTTGGGGCTCCATAGAACTGGTTGATCTTGAGCCTCTGCACCGTCTCCTAGTACTGACCTACACAAAGGCCCAAACCCACAGTCAACAGGAGAGCCCAAGCTCAGAGATCCTCAGGGCTGGGTATGTATGTGTTCACAGAAAAGGAACCCACACCACTTGAAGAATAGGGTCCCAAAGAACCTCCTAATCAGAAGGTGGCACACAGAAGCTTCCACACACAGTCTTAGATGACTGTATCACATAGGGTATCTGGCATGAGCTAGCCAGGAATCTGTTTCAAATGATATCCCTCCAAATTTTAAAAACTGTCATGGAACTTGGGCTCAGTCACGATTAAATGGCCCCTCAGAAGAGCTGGCTTTCCTTAGGTCACAGCATAGCTGGTACATGTGCAGGCACAAGCCATTTGCGCAGCACACACACATCTGATCCCCATAAACTCCACACCTTGCACCATTCCCTGAAGCCACTTTGGGCAATGGCCCTCCATCCACTGTGTTGCCCTCATACACTCTCCCTCGAGTGCAGGGAAGCCAGGGGCATCAAGAATATGACTCACACTCAAGCACTGTGGCATGCTAGAGCATCTGCAACCCGGTTACATTAAAGCAAATATTTGGGGGTAGTGTGTTGTGTGAGAGAAATACCAAAGACAGCGAAACAAGACCATGTCCTTAAAGTAAGAGCAATTGAACAAGGGTGGCTCCAGGCCATGCATGGTCCTGAAGGCTCAAGCAGCAGGGGTAGGGAAGAGATAGGTAGCTGGTCGATGTTCTGAGGAAGACCTGGATGAGGCCAGGTGAGAAAGCCCTAGATAGGAGAAGGATGGTGCTGAAGTAATGACCCACACAGGCAGTTTTGGTTACGGAGATGGGAAAGGTAAAATGCGTGGTTTTAACGTGAGACTGCTCTCTGTCGGAGTCCCTCTGATCTTCCTGTGGAAAGAACTGGGCTCCAGCTCACCTGGAAGGGCTCAAGGCTTAGCATCTATGGTATCCACTTGGCGTCTGGTCAATGGTACACCAGAGCTAAAGCCAGAACCGAGCTTCCAGCCATCTGTGGTTCCTTCCTCCAACCTCAAGCTCCTTCCCCAACTGCCTAGTACATGCCTCACCAGAGCTCTTGGTCCTCACCAGCATCAGGGTACATTAGGGTACTCTCAAAAAGGACAGTGGTAGCTCCATTGCAGAGGGGTCCATATACCACGTAGCTGTGTCCTGTGATCCAACCAATGTCAGCCACACAGCCAAAGACATCACCTGGCTGGTAGTCAAACACGAGCTGTGGACACAGGAGGAGACCCTTAAGAACTTGTACTCCCCACACCACCCTGCTCCCACACCTCACTAAGACACGGCCATCTACACAGCAGTTTATAACAAATACAGCCACCACAGCTGCCAGAAGCAAGGTGAGAGCTTCAGAGGCTTCCTACAGAGCCCATCAGGGAGAAGACCAAACAACACAGGCAACAGCAGTGTGGCTTTTCAAGATACCAAAAAGTATACGCTATATGAAGCCTGAGGAGAAACTCCAAGCCTGACAATGCTGAACTACAGGATGGAGGTTGCTATGGGGACCATCTATGAGCTAGAGATGGACCATGTCCTGAAACAGGAATGCACCTAGTAGCAGCATTTCATCTAGTTATATAATTAAGATGTGGACACCTATACTAGGGATGTAGCACATCCTTGTTATGCACAAAACCTGTGATGGCTAATCTTGGTTGTCAACTTGACATACCTGGGAAGTGAGAACCTCAACTACGGAATTTCCTCCATCACACTGGGGCTGTGGGGTTGTCTGTGAGGCATTTTCTTCTTTGCTAAATGATGTGGGTGAGTTGGAATCATGGTGGAAAGCTGCTTACTGGCTTGCTTTCTGGCTCATGCTTAGCTAGGTTTTTTTATACAGCATAGGTTCACCTGCCTAGGCATGTACTACTTACAGTGGGTTGGTGGACCTATGCTGTATTAAAAAAAAAACAAAAACCTAACTAAGCATGAGCAAGAAAGAAAGCCAGTA